CCTGTGTCCCATCAGTAAAAGTGGGAATAATACCTCTGACGGCTTTCTAAGGATTAATTGGGCTCACACCCAAAGCACATACCACAGTGCCTGGCACTTAGCATGGACTCTGCTCTGATTAGTGTAGGTATTATTGTTATTTCCTGTGTGCTTTTAGCCAGATCCCAGGAAACCGTTTATAACAGGTTCATGTACGTTTGCTTGTTCTTTATTTCACTTGATTGCCCAGCTCACATTTCCTGAGGGGCTGGGAGTCTTGAAACAACAAAGAGCACTACCCTAGAATCAGGAATCAGTTCCTGGCTTTGCTCCTCTCACCTCCATGTGAGGCCTGCACCCTGCTCTGCCTTTCTCTGAGGGCTGTGGTAGGGAGCAAATGAAGTAATGCATGGGAAACCTCTCTGTGAACTTTAATACAACCATAAGGGATTATCATTGAAAGCGACGAGTCCCTCATTGATTAGGGCATTTCTTTAGGGGGAAAAATAGCTTTTGGTCTTAAATAGGATCCCCATGGGACGGAAGCTCCCAGCACCTCTGTGGAGAGGGGTTAAGTCTTTTAAGACTCCATTAGTGTCGTTGTTAATGGTGATAAAGCACCGGAATTGTTGCCATCATGGTTTCTGCCTTTATAATTGCATTCACCTCGAAAACCACAAGTAGTAGCGGGTCCCAAATGGTACGATTTCATTTGAAAAACTAATTGAAGTTGAGAGAGCCCTCAGTGTTTGCTTCTGTGGAGACAGGAGGAGGAAAGAGATGAGCAGGTGGGGCTGGGGGCTGGCCTGAGTGCGTCCCCTATTCAGCAGTCCCCTCCTTTGTTCCTTGGCAGGTTCTCAGCTGTCTGCCGCTCTTGATTGAAGTGAGCTGCCCGCCCTCAATGGCCAGCCTTTTTTTTTTTTCCTTCGGGGGGCTTTTGTTTCTCCATTGTTCGTATTGTCTCCTCTGCCACAGTGGCCCCTTGCCAAGGCTGTTCCACGGTTCACATCCTCTCTTGCAAGGTAAACTGGGCTTCCAGGGAAAGCAGGTGATCTAAACCCTGTGAAGCAGCGGTTGCCAACCGGTGGTCCATGGAACACTGGTGGTCCGTGAGGTCCGAAAGGTTGGCGACCGCTGCTGTGAAGAACCAAGGCTTTCTATTCTGGTGCTGGCAGGGAAGTTCACAGGACTGTGTGTCCCCAGCTGGAAAATGATGGGGGTGGCATTGCTCATCTCTGAGTCCCCACCAACTAAAACCTGTGATTCTTCTACTTTTAATCAAACTTATATCCCATCATCCAGACTTTTCACATTTTTTAAAAAAATATTTCATATACTTATAGTAAAATGTACAAATCTTAAGTGTGCAACTCAATGAATTTTTACTTCTAACGACACTGGTATGACATATTGATCCCCCTAGAAAGTTCACAGATTCTAATAAGAGACAGGGTAGGACACCGTTATAACATATTGATCCACCTAGAAAGTTCAGATTCTAATAAGAGGCAGGGTAGGGTTGGTGATGTGTGGAAATATCTGGCCCAGTGAAATGGTTCATAAATAGAAAAAGTTGAGTAATGATATTAGTGTAGGTAGCTAGATATTCATAAAAGAAGGGAACAATGGGAATCAAACATGAAACCTAATAATCTGGAAAGCTGAATCCAATATTGGGCCGGTTTCACTAGAGAGCTGTACACAGTCCCCAGGGCAGTTCCCTGCAGATTACTGGGGGGAAAGATAGAACTTTAATAAAGGGAAAAGTCCTCTGTTGGGCGCATGCCCAGTAGAAACCAAAATGGCACAGGGGAGATGCTTCTAGGAGGCATGCACAGTAAAAGCCAAGATGGCAACCACAGAGACCTGCCTGTGTAGCCTGGGAAAAGGATTGGATTGGATAAGGGACAAAGACCCCCACCCCCACCAGGGAAGATTTAGGAAATGTATTGGTTAGGGAGAGAACCCAGTGAAGCCCCCAAATGATTGGGAAGTTGATTGGTTAGTTTGAAAGCCTACCTGGTCCTCCCCAAGCCGGAGATAATATAACCCAAGTTTAACAAAGTGCTCTCTCACCTGGTAACATGTGCTTGCCCAGCTGGCTTGTGCGTTTTCTCTCCATAGCAGCCATGTGACCCCAGCAGCCACCTGAGGCCCATGACAGACAGTGTGAGCCTGGGTACAGCAGCACCAGCCAAAGTGCAGCAGGAAACAGACTATGCTAGCTGGATGGGGACAAAGACTGGAATGGACTAAGCTTTAACATGGACCAAACCAATGGCGCAAAATGTCTGGACACATTCTTTTCTGGGCCTGATAAAGACAAGGTTGGACTTTTTTCATGATGGGATGGATGGAGATGAGACACTGGAAACCCAGGGTAGCCTTCTATTTCCACCCAAATAAATCTTACCACCAGACCTCATCCTCCCACACTTTTCTTGAGACTCTGTGAAAGAACACCATTTCCACCAGCAAAACAATCACTGACCTTACGTAAGTACCTCTGGTCAGTGACTTCAGTTCTCATCTTCCTTTTATAGCAAAAATAAAAGAATTATCTCTACTGGTGCTGTCCAATAGAAATGTAATGCAAAGCATGTGGGTGATTTTTAAAATTTTCTAGTAACAACAATAAAAAACTAAAAAAGGAAAAGATGAAAAATTTAAAATGTTATTTAACTTAATATTATCCAAAATATTATTTTAACAAGTAATCAATATAAAACAAAATTTGAGCTATTTTTTTTTCATGTTGTCTTTGGAATCCAGTGTCTATTTTACACTTAATGCTGTCTCAGTTCATACTAGCCACATTTCCAGTGTTCAGTAGCCCCTGTGACTAGTAGCTGCCATATTGGACAGCTAGCTCTATACTCGCCAGCTCTGATTCCTCTCCTACCATTTGCTCTTGAACCCCCTCATGTCAGACTTTTGCCTCCACCATTCCACCCAGTTTGTTCTTGCCAAGGTCATCAGTGTCTTCCATGGTCACTTCCATGGTCAGTTCTCAACTGACCTGACCCTTCAGACTGACCTGACCCTGACTTTGTACAGCAGATCATTCTCTTCCTCTTGAACCACTTTTTTTCAGTTGACTTCTGAAATTTCTCTCTTGTAATTTTCCCAGTAGCTCACTGCCTGCTCCTTCTCAGTCTTCTTTGCTAGTTCTTCATCTTTTTTCCAAACTTTAAATGTGGGGGTGCCCCAGGTTCAATTCTTGGACCTCTTCTCTATTCTTTCCGTACTTTTTCCTTGATGATCTAAATCACTTTCCTGATTTTAAAAACCATCTAAATGTGACAGCTGCCAAACCAAACTGGCTGCCCAGACCTCTCTCCTAACTCCAGTCTCCAGACTCAGGATATCCAGGTGTCTACTCAACATCCTCACTTAGACTTCCACATGTCTAACCCATCTCCGAATTCCTCTCCCATCCACTAAGCTCCTAAATGGCAGCTCCATCCTTTCAGTTAGTTGCTCAAGCCAACAACTTTGGAGTCATTCTTGACTCATCTCCAATCCCCATACTCTATCCATCAACAAATGAGTTCTACCCTAAAAATGTATTCAGAGCCCTGACCAGTTTGGCTCAGTGGCTAGAGCGTCAGCCCGTGGACTGAAGAGTCCCAGGTTCGATTCTGGTCAAGGGCATGTACCTTGGTTGCGGGCATATTCCCAGAAGGGGGTGTGCAGGAGGCAGCTGTTCGATGTTTCTCTTTCATGGATGTTTCTAACTCTCTATCCCTCTCCCTTCCTCTCTGTAAAAAGTCAATAAAATATATTTTAAAAAAATGTATTCAGAGCCCTGGCATGTGTGGCTTAGTTGGTAGAGGGTAATCCCATGCATCCAGAGGTGATTGGTTGATTCCTGGTCAGGGCACATTCCCGGGTTCCCAACTTGATCCCTAGTACAGGCTGTGCATGAAGCAGTGGATCAATGTTTCTCTCTTCCTGTCCCTTTCTCCCTCTCTAAAATCAATAAAAACATATTTTAAAAAATGAAATCAGAATTTGACCTCATCTCAGAGTGACTTTAAATGCAGGTCCGATCATGTCATTCTTCTGCTTAAACTCTGTGATGACTCCAGTCTCACCAAGGGTGAGATCCAAAGTCCTTACCATGGCCTCGCAGGGTCCTCATGAGCTGACCTCCTGCTCCATCTGGGCCTCCTTGCCTTCCTCGAACACTTTCTTTCTGTTCTAGCCACTCTAACCTCCTTATTCTTCCTCCTTCCCTGCTCTTGCCTCAGGGCTTTTGTGTTGGATTTTCACTCTGGATGGAATGTTCTTGACCCAGTTATCCACAAGGCCAACACCCTGCTTCCTTCAGGCCTTTACTCAAGTGTTACCTTATCAATGAGGCCTTCCCTGACCACTACACAGCACATGTGTACATTATAGATAAAATAATGCCCTCTGGCATTCCCACCCCCTTAAATATTTATCCTTTGTAATTGCCACTGTTGGACATATTCTATATTTACTTGTGTTTGTTATCCTTTCCCTAATTTGAATATAAGCTCTTTGAGGTCAGGGGCTTTGTCTGTTTGTTTGGAACTATATTCCCAGTGCCTAAAACAATGCCTGGCACATAGTAGGTACTCTATAAATATATGTTGAACGAATATATGATACTGCTTAGAGACGAACAAGTCATCAAATGAATGAAGGATGAGTTTGGCCCAGAATAGAAGAATATGGTCAAGAGGCTGGCTCTGGGCTGTACTGCCTTGGTTTAAACCCCAGCTCTCTCCTTGTTGGCTGTGACCGTAACAATCCAGTTAATCTTTCTGTACCTGGGTTCCTTGTCTGTGAAATGAGAAGGGTGCCAATGCCTCCCTTTGGGCTATGTACGGAGTATATGAGATTCTAGGCATGAAGCTGCCCAGGTGGTACTTCCCAGTCTGGTAAATGTTAGCTATTTTTTTATTATACCATGTAATACCACTTTGGGAAACATAACTATGTAAAACACATACAAATTAGGTGGAAGATTAAAGAAAATTGAACTGCAGACCAGGATGGGGGAATTTTATTGTATTCATAAAAGAAAAAGTAGGTCAAAAATTAAGTAGGTTGAACTGGATGCAGTTGTGTTTTGGCTCCAGGCAGCATAAAACACAGGCAGAATCTTCATCCTTGGGAATTCCTGTTGCAGAAAGAAAGAACAAGCTCAATCATGGGGACTGAAGAAAGGGCAGGTTAGGGCATGGACAGTTGAAACCAGGGGGATGGATGTTCTAGTGTTAAGACTGTCTGGGTCCCAAAAGGACCTCGTTCTTGAGAAGAGAACCCTTGTGCACTGTTGGTAGGATAGTAAATTGGTGCAGTCACTATGTAAAATAGTATGGAGGGTCCTCAAAAAATTAAAAATAGAGCTACCCCATGACTCAGAAATACCCCTTCTGGGTCTTTACCTGAAGAAATCCAAAACATGAATTAAAAAAGATATACACACCCTATGTTCACTGCAGCATTATTTACAAAAGCCAAGATATGGAAGCAACCCAAGTGCCCATCAGTAGGCCGTTGGATAAATAAGAGGTGGTACATGTATACAATGGAATATTACTCAACCATAAAAAAGAATAAAATCTTGCCATTTGCAACATAGATGGTTCTAGAAGGTATTATACTAAGTAAAATATGTCAGACAGACAAAAACAAGTGCCATGAAATAAATTCTAAAAAGAACCTCATTGTTAGCCCCAGTTCTGCTAATCTTCTTCCACTGAGATTCCAGGCTGATCACTTCCTTTGAAGTCACTGCAGGGTTAGCTTAGGTATTCCTTGCGGCGCACACATTCACCCTACCCCTTATGTCTCATACCATTTATCACAAATTAAATAATCCACTGTACAAGTACTTAAGTTTTGTCTGTCTCACTGCATTATGGGTTCCATGAGAGCAGGAACCACTGCTGTCCTATTCCCTGCTATTCCCTCAGCTCAGAGACTGGCACATAAAAGTCATTGGATGTTTTTAAGGGCCAGGAGGACAGACAAATCTGAACCTCAGTTCCTTACAGAGCTGTTAGGTGGACATGAAGGGTGGTGGGTGCAAAAGTGTGCCATCTGCCAAATCGTTCGACTGCACTATCAAGGTGGAAGAACTTACTCTTATTTTATGTTTTCCCAGGCCCACCAGTGATACCCTGGTATTTGCAGCCATTGAGCTGGAGGGGGAACAATGGCCATAGCAGCCTCCAGGCCCCTCCTGCTGCTCTGTGAATTTGAGCTCTGTGAAGCCTCTGGCTTTTCACCTGCAGGAACAAAGCCTGCATTCTTAGGACTCGGCCCTCCTTGGGGTCACTCCACCCTACTGGGCCTTGTGGGAGCCATAAAGCAGGTGAATGATGACCTAATCCCAGCATGAGAGGCACAAGGTAGGCATTATTCTTAGAGGCATTAGGGACCTTAGAGGTGGTCGGTGCTAACCCCCTCCTTTCACGGAGGAAGAAACAGGCAGCCAGCTTGCTGTGTACAGTGAGTTGGCTGCAGAACCAGACCTGGGGCTCAGATATGCATCCTGCCTCCCATCCTGGTTCTTACCCCTCCTGCAGCTGCCCATCAGCCTGCTGCTGCTTGTATCTCCACAGGACTGAGGTTGGTGAGATCTCTGAGCTCTTGGTGTCTAATAAGGTTGGAAGGAAGGTAAGAGGGCACATGGAGAAACTGGATTTGCTTACTAGGTCCAGAAGTGCCTGGCAAAGTCATGCTGGGACACATTTGTGCTCACAGTTGAAAATCAGCCTAAAAAATATAGCAGAGTTTCTCCCAATAGTTGTATCATTCTTGGGAAACTGTCTGCTAAGTGGGCTTCTTGTGAAGAAACTAAAGAGAAGCAGCAGGTCTCGGCTGGGCCTGCCAGTCCCTGACTTGGAGCCAGCTGCTGCCCCTTCTTTGCCTCAGTTTTCCTCCTCTGTAAAATGGGAAAGCTCATTCCTCATCTTCCCTGACTCCCAGTGGGAATGTGAGGGTCAGTGAGATGGGGTGTTATTCCCCTCTCTCCCCTGCTTGAGTGCTGCACACACTAGTCTACCTGAGGGTGTTGGGAAGGGCTGTCTTCCTTTGACGTTATAGTTTTGTGAGCTTGGCAAGGAACCCAGAGCACACCTCTCAGATCACACACAACAGACCTGCCCTGAACACTTGTTAAAATTCAGGTTCTTGGGTCCTATCCCAGAACGATTGAGTAAGTTATGTTTTTGGACCCAGACGCTGAGCCCAGCCTCTTACTACACATGGAGACACAGCAGTGGATAAGATCCAGTCGCTATCACACATTTTCTCCCCTTCCTCCAGTTCCCGATGTGTGTCAGGAGGGTGTGGCAGAGCCACATGCTTTTGGAGAGGAGGAGGTTCCTCTTCCTGCTGATCCTTGGGGAAGGAAGCCTCGGAGCTCCCTAGATATGCACACACACACATGTGCATGCACACCCATACACGCACACATGCATACACGTACACATGCATGTATTCCCACCTGAGCTTCTGCGGCAGGGCTGCCAGGATGCTTTCCAGTGCCATCTGCTTTTGGTCTTCCCACATGCCGTCCACCTGACGCCCAAGCCACACCTTTGCTCCTTGCTCCTCGTTTCTCTCTCTATTCCATTAGAAAAAAGAGAAACAGCTGAGGTTGCTCCTTGGGTAGGATGTGGAGAGGCCTGGGAAGGGCCGGAGCAAAGTGAGCAGAGCAGGGTGTGTCCCTTTTCTGACATCTGGTATCTAATCCAACTGAATTAGATTCAGCAACATTTAGGAAGGCAGTACATATGTAGTGAAGAGTAGAGGCTCCAAAATAGACATTTGCAAAATATCTCCCCACAGATTACTTATTAATTTCAAAAGGGAAAATATTAACTTTTCTCCCAGCAGACACCATGTTAACCAAGTGATCAAAGTTATCACCAATAATGGGACAAATCGACCTCATGTGTCTCCTGAGACAATGCGCTGAGAAGGACACTTCTGTTGCTTACTCTGACTCTACTAATCGTGAGGAAGCATCAGGCAAGTCCAATATGAGAGACATTCTATAAACAACTGGACTTTATTAAACAAATTCGTCAGGACTAAAAGACAGGAACTGTTCCTGATGAAAAAAACTAAAGAGACATGACAACTAAATACAACCCATGATCCTGAATCAGGAAAAGAAATACCTGTTATAAAGGACATTTTGGGATAACTGCTGACATTTTAATACGGACCCTAAGTGATAATTATTCTGTGATTATATAAGAGAATGTCCTTTCATTAGCTATTGGGAGACACCCACAGTAGTATTTAAGGGTAAAGGGTTATGATGAATGCAATTTACTCTCAAGTATTTCTGCAATAATAATAATAATAATAATAATAATAATTGTGCACATGTGTTTGTATGTATAGGTCTATATCTAGCTATAGCTATAGAGTAAGCAAATATGATAAAAATGTTAGAAATCATTGAATATGGGGAAGTGTATGTGGAAGTCCTTTGTATCATTGATGCAACTTCACTGTAAGTTTGAAATTTTTTCAAAATTAAAACTGAAAAATGGATGGGCTGTGGAGTTTGGCTGCTTGGACCCAGATCTGCCACTCTTTGGTGTGTGTCCTCTAGAAGCTATTAATGGCCCCAGACGATGGGGGTAAGAGTCCTGCTTTATAGGGTTGTTAGAGCAAATAGGAAATGAGGAATAATGGCTAACACTACCAAGGGCTCACTCTGCCCAGCACTGTGCCAAGTGCATGTAAATAGCCCAACGCACAGCCTTTGTTTCTGGCACAGAGTAACGATCTACTGGTAACTACCATCAGTATTGTTACTGTTGGAGCCCAGCATAGGGAGAAGCACATAACAAGTGTTCAACAGTCATTTAATAGCTAGAGGTAAGCTGAGATTTGACACTGGGGTCCTTCTGCTACGGCAAGTTCAGAAATGACAGATGCTTTGCAGAGGAAGAAACCAAAGTTGGTCCCTCCAAACTCTGATGCAGCTGCAGTGTGGAAAGAAATTCCTAGAACTTCTGCTTACGCCTGCTGCCTGCTCATGATGTCCTGGAGCAGCTTACGGGCAGAGAGCTGGCCCAGCACCTTCCGATAGCTGTTGGTGAAGATGGCATCTGCATACCGTGGCATCCTATGTGGGAGGAGTCAAAGGTCAAAGGGTGGTCTGGTGGGCCCAGGTGAGGGGACAGAGGTGGCTGCATTCATTAGGTCTCTGTTAGGTCCTTGTATTGCCCTTTTCCCTGTTCATCCCCAGAGAGAGTTGGAACCTGGGCTAGCCAACCTCTTTGAAGCTCAGAGTCTGTCCCCCTCCCAGAGATGGCAGTGGGGGCTGCCTGAGGAGATGGCTGAGGCCAGCTGATGGCTGGATTCTGCATCCTCTAAGCACCCCTCCTCCAGCAGGGATGGTTTTGGGGTGGTGGAAATCCAGGCCCTGTTGGCAGGACTGCTTACCTGAGGGTCGGGGAGTGTGAGGAGCAGTGGCAGCCACCACTGAGAGTTAGGACCATGAGGAAGAACACCCAGAGCAGCATCCTTCACCCTTGTGGTGGCACCTGGAAAGCGATAGGAGGGGAGGTCAGATGTAGCCATAGTCACAGGGATGCCTTTGCTGGCTGGGCCCAACCCTAGACTTGGCTTCGTGCAAGCCTTGGTCCTTGTCCTTTGGAAGAGTGGGGTAGGAAGAAGAACCCAGACTCTGGAAGTCAGACAGACCTGGGTTCAAGTTATGCCTCTGTCAGTCACAAGTTCTGACCTCATTTTCTCCATCTGTTGTTGCAGTGTACCCTGCGAATCACACAAGGATGCCTCAAGAAGTCGAATTAAGGAGCCACATTTATTTCAAAGCCGCCGGCTATGAAGGGGCAAATGCTCTCCAAATCTCGTAGTGCCTGCGTGAGAGCAGTAGCCAGCTTATAAAGGCAAAAACCACATCCTGCTAGACATTGGCATGTGGAATTATCTTGCAAAAGCAGTTTTACAGAAGCAAAATTGAGCAAAGTTAATAATCTCTAAAGGTTATCTATACTTTCAGTTCCTAGAGCCACTGAGTTAAGGAAAGCAATTTTGTGGTTCTGGCCCTCAGACACAGGAGAATAACCTTTGTGATGTGGGCTGGCAACATAATGGGGTGATTTATGTGAGCTTCCGGGTCTCAATCTGGAAACTGAGGTAACTACCCTATTGTTTAAGCAAGCAGGTGTGTACCGAAGCCAGAATAGCAGGGTTAAAATTCAAACAGCAGTTTTTACCTGAGATGAATGTTACTATGCTTCATTGCTTCATTCTCCACTGGTTTTTTTTTTTTTTTTTAATATGTTTTATTGATTTTTTACAGAGAGGAAGGGAGAGAGATAGAGAGTTAGAAACATCGATGAGAGAGAAACATCGATCAGCTGCCTCCTGCACATCCCCTACTGGGGATATGCCCGCAACCCAGGTACATGCCCTTGACCGGAATCGAACCTGGGACCTTTCAGTCCGCAGGCCGATGCTCTATCCACTGAGCCAAACCGGTTTTGGCTCCACTGGTTTTATGTACATGTCAAATCATGGACTCATCTTCATTAGTTAGGGGATTGTAATGCCCCCTAACCACAAGTAGTTTGACTGAATTAATTTTTCTAACTGCCTGCTTGGCACATTTAGTTTTCTATTTACTCATCCTATTTCTTTCAAGGGCATTCTCTGTTCTGTTCTTGCTCTCCTGTCCCCTAGCACATCTAGCCCTACTTGGCCCTGGACTTTCTCATTTGCTAGCAAAAATGTTCCTACAGTTACCAAGGCCCCTAGTGCCACAGCCCCCATCAGTACTGTCCTCACTGAAGCCCAGTTCCCCTCCTGCAGGCGTCCAGCCTCCTCCTGGCCTGCGTGGAGCCCAGGCTAGGGATCTCACGGGTGAGGCCACTGGCTGCTAAGATCCAGGCTGTTTCCTGGTGTAGGAGCTGGGAGTGGTATAGCCAGGTCTGAATGTCGTCAACCTTAACAGCTGTGGGCAGAGTCAGGATAACAGTGTAGTCCCTTCCAAGTTGGGGTTAGTCCTTGGGTCATGAACTTCTTTACTCACACCGAGTCTCCAGACGGGAAGGGATGTATAGGGCCCAAGGTTGGCACTGGCAAGGCGTCTCACACAAGCTTATGGGTGGCTCTCTGGGTATAGCGCAGAGCCTGTGAGGACTTGAGCAAGGAATGGTTATGAATTTCAAATTTTAATTCCTCCCTAACCTTGGGTAGGATAGGGGGAGGTCTACCAAATATGATTTCAAAAGGGGAGAACCCCTCCTGGTAGGGGGTACACCTGGCCCGTAAGAGGGCGAAGGGCAGGAGGTTGGTCCAGTTTTCACTGGTTTCTAGGATAAATTTAGTTAAAGTCCTTTTTAGAGTCCTGTTCATACCTATCCTGAACTTTGTGGCTGGTATGCACAATGGAGTTTCCAATTTATGCCTATGACTTGAGCTATACTTTGAGATACCTTGGCTACAAAGGCAGGGCCGTTTTCTGATCCTATGACTGCTGGTAGCCCGAATCTAGGTATAATCTCCTGGAGTAATTTCTTGACCACTATAGAGGCAGTCTCTGTCTTCGTGGGGTATGCTTCAATCCAACCTGAGAAGGTGTCTGTAAAAACTAGCAGGTACTTATACTCTGCCACCCGTGGCTTGAGCTCTGTGAAATCTACTTCCCAATGCTCTCCTGGGGAGTTTCCCCAGGCCAAAATTCCCAGGGGGACCCCCCTACCTTGCTTAGCATTCACCTGTGCACAGACAGTACATCTAGTGACTATGCTTTTAATTATCTTAACTAAGCTTGGTATGTAGTACCTCCCTCACAAAAGTTCAGAAGTCTTGGTGATGCCTAGGTGGGTAGCCTGGTGTAACTGGGCAACTATTGTCCAACATAGAGTCTCTGGGACCAACAGTCTGTCATCTGGTAGAGTCCACCAACCATTTGATCCTCTGGTAGCTTGCTTCTGTTCTGCCAATTCCTCCTCTTGTTTGGTGTAAGAGGGGGTTTGTGGTAGTCTGGGTCCAGCAGATTTAGTAAGACTTGTAAAGGCCCCACTGGTTTTTGGGCGGCTTCCTTGGCAGCTTGGTCTGCAGCCCGATTTCCTCAGGCTTCAATTGTTTCCCCTTTCTGATGACCTTCGAAGTGCACTATTGCAACTGCTCTGGGAAGCCAGATGGCCTCTAATAAGGCTAAGCCTTATTTTTAATGTCCTTTCCAGCTGGAGTTAGTAACCCTCTTTCCTGGTAGATGGCACTGTGTCCCCATCGGAGGGCCTGGCTCAAGGCCAAAAGTTTAGGTTTTGATGCTGAAGTTCCCCTGTTTCAAATAGTGCGGTCCAGAGTGACTACCACCACCCCCTGCATACTGGATTCCATCCTGAACATAGCTGCTCCCATCTGTGAACAGTACCTCACCTGGTGATGATAGCGGGACGTCCTTTAAGTCTGGCAGAGCCGTTTGTACTACGACCTGCTCAGGGAAGATTGGCCTCCCTCGGTGTCTGAACCAGTGCCCCCTAATGGCTGGATCTCGCTGGGGCCTCCAAATGTTGTAGTGTACCCCACGAATCACACAAGGATGCCTCAAGAAGTTGAATTAAGGAGCCACATTTATTTCAAAGCTGGTGGCTACGAGGGGGGAAAATGCTCTCCAAATCTTGTAGCGTCTGAGTGAGAGCAATAGCCAGCTTATAAAGGCAAAAACCACATCCCAGCCCTAACGGGTTTGGCTCAGTGGATAGAGCGTCAGCCTGCGGATCCAAGGGTTCCAGGTTCGATTCTGGTCAAGGGCATGTACCTTGGTTGTGGGCACATCCCCAGTGGGGGGTATGCAGGAGGCAGCTGATCGATATTTCTCTCTCATCGATGTTTCTAACTCTCTATCCCTCTCCCTTCCTCTCTGTAAAAAATCAATAAAATATATTTAAAAAACAAACAAACAAAAAGAAAACCACATCCTGCTAGACATTGGAATGTGGAATTACCTTGCAAAAGCAGTTTTACAGAAGCAAAATTGAGCAAAGTTAATAATCTCTAAAGGTTATCTATACTTTCAGTTCCTAGAGCCACTGAGTTAAGGAAAGCAATTTTGTGGTTCTGGCCCTCAGACACAGGAGAATAACCTTTGTGATGTGGGCTGGCAACATAATGGGGTGATTTATGTGAGCTTCTGGGTCTCAATCTGGAAACTGAGGTAACTACCCTATTGTTTAAGCAAGCAGGTGTGTACCGAAGCCAGAATAGCAGGGTTAAAATTCAAACAGCAGTTTTTACCTGAGATGAATGTTACTATGCTTCATTGCATCACTGTAAAATGGGCATGATAAAGCTATCCTGCTGACTTCATAGGGTTGAACAGAAAATTAAAAATAATGGTGAACTGCCCCTACAAAATAGCCCATAAGGCAGCGGTTCTCAACCTGTGGGTCGCGACCCCTTTGTTGGCTGAACGACCCTTTCACAGGGGTCGCCTAAGACCATCCTGCATATCAGATATTTACATTACAATTCATAACAGTAGCAACATTACAGTTAGGAAGTAGCAACGAAAATAATTTTATGATGGGGTCACAACATGAGGAACTGTACTTAAAGGGCCAGAAGGTTGAGAACCATTGCTGTAAGGCATTATACATGGAATTCAAGCCTCAGCAAGGGATAGCGGAAGAGCAATCACCTTCCCTTAGTCTCTCCTAAGTCACTCCCCACCCCCCTGTGTGGCACTGACAGTACTGAGCAGGGTTAACAGCTCAGTCTCTGAGTGAGACAAATTTGAGTCCATATTCAGGCTCTGCCACGACTAGCTGTGCATCCCAGGATAAGTGACTTCTCCTTTCTGGGGCTCAGTTTTCCTCTCCATAAAATGGAATTGATAACTCCGCCTACTGCATAGGGTTCTTGTGAGCATTTGATGAACCAAGGCCCCTGTAGTGTGGGGAATTCGCCACAAAATTTTGCTTTGCTGATCTAATATTAGACCTGCTCAGGTAGTCTTTTTAGGCATGGGCTATTTTGTTTTTGTGTGGAGTTGGAGGGAAGGGAAGTCTATAAATCTTACTCTAGACCAGTGGTTCTCAACCTTCCTAATGCCACGACCCTTTAATACAGTTCCTCATGTTGTGGTAACCCCCAACCATAAAATTATTTTCGTTGCTACTTCATAACTGTAATGTTGCTACTGTTATGAATCGTAATGTAAATATCTGATATGCAGGATGTATTTAGGCGACCCCTGTGAAAGGGTCATTCGACCCCCAAAGGGGTCGCAACCCACAGGTTGAGAATCACTGCTCTAGACACTTATATTTCACCGAAGAGTTTGAGTCCTGAAAGAGACCAAGGAGCCTGGGGAGCTTGTGCAGCAGAAGTATCTCATAGAGCACATAATGCCCTTAATTGGGGCCTGCTGACACCGTACTCTGCAATTAGAGGAAGAACTGTCAACAGGGAAAGAGCCCTCCTCTTTTTGAGGAGGGAGGGGGCAGAGGGGCGGGGAGGTGCTCCGTTGTCAACCCAGTCCTGCCCTGGTGTGACTCAGCCACCAAGGAATTGGGTCTTTCCATCTCCCATGGCTCCCTCCCCCAACTTCAGTAGGATATCCACTCCATGGAGATACAAACCCATCCAGAAGCCTCACCAGCCCCCACCTGCCCCCCCACCCCCTCAAAGGCAGGACCCTACCTTTCTCACGATTACCCTACATTGCTCGATTTGCTCCCTGGTCCTACTTCGGAATGATTTCACACAAGCCGGTTCAGCTCTGGCAGGGTCCACCTTCCTTTCCTGGGCTCACTTGCCCTCTCAGGGCACCATCCCCCTTCTCCCAGACACTGGGTCCTGACCCAGGGATACCCTGAGACCCAAGGGAGCACAATGAGGTAGCTCAATGCAGGCGGATCCCCACACCCCCAGAGCTGGAGGGAGCCACCATCCAGGCCTGTCTTCAGCCCTTTCTTGATGTGTAGCCT